GTGCTTGCATCAATTCATAAGTTGCATGTATGTGAATGAAATTGTATTCAAGAAAAATTGTATTGTACTTTCCTTAATCTCTGTGGTGTCTATTTGAGTGGGAATTGTATTAGAGCATATTTGACGTGATCTTTGTAATCTTTGGAGTGATTGGACATGAGGAATCTAGTGATTTTCAGCCATGTATGCTACTAGAAATTGTATATTATATAAATACATTTTTTGGTTTCCTTTACCCTGGACTTGTCCTCTATAGACTCCAATACTTACAAGTTGTGTCTACCTGGATGAACAAATATCTTACTTCATGTTTCTTTGTATGTGTCTAATATGGGGTGTAATTTAATTTTTGTTCCTAAGCTAACGACAAGGGATATGAAATAGGGTTCAAGTCAGGTCATATCATTATTGGTAAATATTATCAAGCATTGGTGCTTGGTACTAAAGTCGATAATTTGTACCGATTCAGAATTAATGAATATTCCTCTGATTTTTGTTACATGGATGTTTCCTCTTATGCCTATGTTTGTGCTGGATTATTCACATTTATAGTATTTAAACTTGGGACACATAAATAAAGATAAGATGAACCAAATGGTTAAAAGAGATCTACTCCCCAACTTAAGAGAAATTGTTTTTAAAACTTCTGAGCCATGTATTTTGGAAAAATTAACTAAGTAGTCTGTTCCTAAAGGAAAAAGGTCCAATAAACTTCGTAATATTGTACACTCCAATATATGTAGGCCACTAAATGTAAAAACAAATAGAGGTATGGAATATTTCGTAACATTTATAGATAAGTATTGACATTATAAATGTGTATACGTGATTATAAAAAATCATATACACTAGAAACATTTTAACAAATATAAAGCTGAGGTAGAAAGTCAACTAGATAGATATATTAAAAATTTTAAAAGAAATTTGGGAGATGAATAGTGCTCCAATTTATCTATCGAGTTATGTATGGAGCATGCTATACAACACAACAAAATAGTGTAGCTGAAAGAAATAATAGACCTCTAGTGGACATAGTTAGGTCTATGATTAGGTATTCAGATTTATAACCTCATTTTTTGGGTGAGGCTTTCAGCACTGTAATGTATATATTATTGACAATGTTCCAATTAAAGCCATATACTTAACCCCTTATGAATCATGGACCAGTAGGAAACCATGTCTTAATATCTTGAAAGTTTGGGGTTCTTGGGCACATGTGCTTATACCACCACAAAATAGAGATAACTTATAGAATAAAACTATAAAACACTTCGTTATAGGTTATTCATAAATTTTTAAGGGCTATAGATTGTATAACCGTGATGCTAGTTCCTTGCTAGAGAGTCGTAATGCTCATTTCTCAAAAACAATGAATGATAGATGTACCTTAAATAAGTCAATTGATTTGTATGAAATTGATAAATATAAAGGTCTCGAAGACCCTATTTTATAGTTTCCTTTTATAATAACTACCCTAAAAGAAAAAGTCTACCTCTACATTTCATGAGAATGGTTCCTTGAACTCAATATACAAGATAGACCCAAAAACATAGAGCTCCAACTAAGATGAATTTTATGTGTTCATAAATTAAAATAACTATTCTCCTATGAGTCAGGATACAATAGATAAATCTCAAAATTATAGTGAAGCTAGTAGCTTACATGACTTAGCTGGGTGTATTAAAGCCATGAATGATAAAATTGATTTCAATAAAAAAAATCAATTTTGAGAGTCAATTTATCTCCTAAAAGATAGAAAATCTATTGGTTCCAAATGAGTCCTAAAAAAGGATATAATAGATGAATCTCAAAGTTACAGTAAAACTTAACTTGCATGACTCAGCTGAGTGGATTAAAGCCCTGAATAGTAAACTTGATTTCATTAAAAACAATCAATTTTAAGAGTTGGTTTATCTCCTAAAAGATAGAAAACCCATTGGTTGCAAATGAATCCTAAAAACTAGATCGGTAGCTAAAGAGTTCACCTAAACAAAATGTATAGTTATGTAGAGACCTATTCTCTAGTAGCCAAATTTACATATATTAGAATCATCCTAACATTAGTTGTACACTATGATTTAAGAAATATTTCAAATGCTTGTTAAAACAACTTTTGTAAATGGGGAATTAAAAGAAGATATTTATACGAAGAAACCAAAAGGATATGAGTAATGATCCTAAAGGACCTTTCCCCACCCAATTGTATAGGACCCTAGTTAATAGCCGTTGGATTTGTATGCAAATCTCGAGATGAAGTTGGAGGCTGACCGTCAAACCATCTTCCCACCAAGTTGCCGGTGACCATCCTCTGCCTCTCTCTCTCTCTCTCTTCTCTCTCTCCTCTCTACTCTACTCTCTCTCTCTCTCTCTACTCTACTCTACTCTACTACTACTACTACTACGTACTACTACGTACTACGTAC